AGACACCGCCAAATTTTTCAAGCCCTGTATATATATATATATATATATATATATATATATATATATATATATATAAAATACAGCATATGAAAAATTAATATTTTCATATTAAACCAGCAACCGGCTCATTTCACATGTTTAACAGGCTGCGCTTGGCTGGTTTATTGAAAACGGTCTGTTGTTTACACAGCTCTGTAGCTTAAGCTGAAATTTACACACAACTCAATTAAGTGATTTACTAAAGAAGTAGAGAAGTTTCACTTTGCCATGTTCTAATTGTAATCATATAATCACATGCAAGGAAAAATCATTTTTATCACTTAACTAAAAAAAATCATTTTGCAAAGTGAACATTATCTACTTTTTTTTAGTAAATTAACACCAAAGATCCAGAAGAGTGACTCACCCCCTCCACTTCAGCCTGTCCCAGTCTAAAAAAAATAAAATAAAATGTAAATGATAGTTTTCCTTTAATAATATGAGAGCACTAATATGACTAACATTCAACAGTTTTAAAAAATTAAGTTATCAGGAGTTTTAAAATGTTGCAAACTACAATAAAATAATAGATCAAATTAATATTAAAAATCTCTTATCCATTTCATGTCAAAGTGTTTTTATAAATGTTTGCACTCAGTCAAATGTGGCCATCTGAGAAACTAATGTGTAACTATGCTGGGCAATAAAAATGTTAGATAGATCACTAATCATTATGAAGTTTGATGAATTACAGCAAAAATCTGATATTACCTCTTCTGTTGAAGTTTAATTTCTTTATGCTGCCAATAAATGTAATGTTCTATACCTCATAAACTGGAATAGGACTGATCTGTGTGCATGATTTTAAAAGAGGGCTTTATAATTTTCTTAATAATTGTATGTAATCCTAACAAGGCAGTTAGGATTACTAACATATCTAATTGTAGATATGTTGCTTCTCGTTTTCTCACATAACACCTGTTTGATGGACCTTGTAGGCAGTTCTGAAAAGAATACAAAAACTTGAGAAACTTGGGTCTGCAATGTTGAAATTTAGCAAACGTTACCATACAACTTCAGGCTCCCGTGTGACAGCCTAAGCAAGTACCATACCCAGCTACTATGTGATGCACAAGCCTCATAAAGTAATTTAAAAAATAGCTTCACCTTCCCTAAGTGAGCTGAATTCTACTTCCCTCCATTTGTGTCTCTGATGCTCCTTCTTTGGGACAATGCAACAAAGGCAGTATTCTCCATCTAGAAAGATGTGGCTAGGTGCTGCTTGACAAGCTACAGGCTTGCAAATCAGCAATAAAATGTTGATAGTAATACACACTGCAGCATTTTTTATCCTACCGTTGTGCACAGCCTACGTGAGGGTGGTAGCACATCTCTGAATTCAAGATCAGTGCAGCATTTTTACTACAGCATCACAGGAAGGTGGATATCACTGTAGAGCTTAACTGGCATTTGTGGGACTTTGCAGGGGACCCAGAAAAAGCTGTGATGCAATTATAATTAGGTGCTGCAGCATATATTTTCTTAATGGGGGGGCATAGTTCTACTTTAAGACTGAGAAATTGAGAGACGTTGCAAAACTTGTCTTTATGTATAAAGAAGTACAAAATAGGGAGATTGTGTACAGTGGTTGCAAGAGAAGAAAATAAGTAGTTGATGGAGAAAAGATATGTAAAAGAGTTTAATATACTGTTCTGGCAGAAGGCAATTGTTTAAGTTGGCATTTTTGTTCTCTTTCTTTATGGTTATTAGTGACAGTATAGGACACTGTAGACTGGCATTAGACTGAAAAAAGCATAAACATATGGATTGTCATTTAGAAGCAACATTAACACTCAAGTCTGGAAAACTTTAGTTGGTGTCAAGGATACCGGCACAGGTGACCCCACACCTGCACAGGTACCCACACAGGCAGACCAAACACTCATGACCACACCGGACAGGGCAGAATGTTATATATACGGTTTATTCAACAGCAAACTAAACAACACCCAAAAGCAAACATAAATAAGTAACCTCACCCAGACTACTAGCAGGTAAAGGCAACAGGAGGACAAGCAGGTAATGGCAACAGGATGAAAGGCAGGTAATGGCAACAAGAGGAAAGGCAGGTCTGCAAATTGGTAACCGGGCTCGGGACACAAACAAGGTACAGGACTGGTAACAGGACTCTGGACAGAAAGCAGGATTATCCGGAACTGGGGACTCAGGGTTCAAGTTTCAGGAAACAGGAAATGATACTGAGCCATCATCCTGACTGCAGGGAGGGTTTAAATATCCTCCCAGGAAGCACCAGGTGATGGCTAAATACTGGCAGCTTGGAAACACCCGCAGGTGAGCACTGGAGCTGCAGGTCTCAGCTCCTGCGCCACCTAGAGGCGCTCTGGATCCTAACAGTTGGCTATTTATTTGGCCTTTCCACCATATAAATAAGCAAGTTTAAAAATATTTTTTAAAAATGATGTATTACATTGCTATGTCACTTGACACAGGCTAATATCTTTTCGTAAACTTGACACTTACCTATCAGCGCTGATTAACTGATCTCTAAAAGACACGACAAGATTTCTGAATGATAGTTATCAATATTGCAGTCTGAGTGTATGTTACTAATAGAATCCTAAGCTACTGGCATGAGATGGCTTGGAGCATGTCT